TACGATTAGAGCTGACAATAGAGTGTGGAATGGTGCTGGTGAAGTTATTGTGAGACAAGTTAAGAATATCAAGTGTGCTAGCATTGCAAATAGAAGGAAGGAGCTCTCCTTGAAAGGAGTTGGAGCTTAAGTCAAGAAAACGCATGTATTTCCATGACAAGGTGCCACAACACATTTTCCTTAAAATAATTATGCGAAAAGTTCAGGAGTACAAGGTTTTGAAGCTGAAAAATTGACCTTGGAATTGGGCCATGCAACTTATTGTTAGACACATCAAGCCCTCTTACTGAATAAGCGGATATTTCATCGACATGACTAGCGAATTGATTAGAAGATAAAATCAAATGACTTAAAGATGGTAGAGTAAAAAGTGAAGAAGGAATTTTTCCATGGAAGCCATTGTTTGACAAATCTAGAACTAAGAGATCTTTAAGATTTGAAATTGAATATGGAAATTGGCCACTAAAGTTATTTGAAGACAAATCAAGAACAGTGAGATTTTGAAGATGGGAAGTGACGATGAGATTTGACCAGAAAAATTATTACTTGAGAGGTCCAAAAAACCAAGTTGTGTAAGATTCTATAAGGATGGCGGAATTTATCCAAAGAATTGGCATGATGAGAGACCCAAGAAATTTAATGATTTCATATGGCCAATGGAATGCGGCAACCTTCCTGCGAAACTCGTGTTCCCAAGAGACAAAACTCTAATGGAATTGCTCCAATTATACTTTGGAAGATAGCCTGCGAGATTTGGGTTATGATACAAATGTATCTCTTGAAGGTAGGGAAGTGAAAATATATTTTCATCCAAATTTTCTTGTAATCCAGCTTTACTAAGCTTCAGATAAACCAAAGAAGAGGAAAAATTCTTAAATAGACGACTATAAGGTATTGATGACATATCCACACCACCCAAATGAAGATCATTTATACGAGTGACATTTCTTTTGAGTCTCTCTCAAGTCTTTTCTTTAAGAACGAGATGATTCAAATCCTCAAGGAGATAAATTGAAACCAATTTTTGAAGATGAGAAATCTGAGATGGAACTTCACCACTAAAATTACAAAAATCCAAGGATAAGTGTGTTGAACTTACAAGTTGGGAAAAATTAGATGGTATTTGAGACCCTGGAAAGTCATTGAAACCAAGGTCAAGTCTTTGAAGATGGTTAAGCTGGAAGAGAGAACTGTTGGGAAGGAGTTTACCATGAAGTCTAGCATAAAAAAGATCCAGGCCAATGACATGACCAAATGGATTGCATATGACCCAATCCCATAAGCAGCAATTCGTACCATTTTTCCGAGTTAAAGAAGAAGGATGGGGTTTTTGGATGGAAAATGAGTTTTTGAAGTCCAGCAAGGCTAAGCTTTGGTCAGGACGACATGTTGGGAAAGCATAGGAATAAGAAACAGAGAGAAAGAGAAACAGTTGGAGACAAAGAAGGGAATACAATGATAGGCTCCTCATTTGTGACTGCTAATTCCTCTCTGCTTGCTGCAACAAGTGAAGAGAAATAGCTCTATTTATAAATGAATAGAAAATGTGGGCGACCTGAAAAAACTAAAGGGAAAATCTTACATCTATCCCTGTCTGTGCAAACAATGTATAAAAGATGCCTCTTATTGGTTTGATTGTTTCTTCTCCTAGTGCTTTCAGCGTCTTGTTGTTTCGATTTTCTAATACAGATTAAAAAATTGGTAATAATTATCTACAAAATACAGCTCAAGGGAGAATAAGTATATTTGTATCTGTGCAAGCCAACTGAAGAGGAAAATGCTAAAACTGAAAATTAATTATCATTGAATTTTTTGGCATAAAAATTATATACTCGACTTAAATAAATTACTAAACCATAGGGCCAATCAACACGAATTTTCCCATATCCTTCTAACCTCTAATTTCCAAGGAGTTCCCGTTATTACTAATTCATCTCATCCACATTAGTGTACTGGTGACGAAACAGTATTTTTCCAGGCACCAAGACCACAGCGTTAGAAAGCAGAATGTGAACCAAACATTAATCGACCGACAAATTTTATTATACACAAAAGAATTTGATTTTGATTTTTCTTCCCCTAATCCCTACCTTGTCCTTTAGCTTCGTTTTATTCCATGGAAGGACTTGCAAAGCCTATTGATGTATAGTTCACAAGTCTATTCACATACATAGACTTGCAAAGTCATTATACCCACCAAAAAAAAAAACAGAGAGAGAATTAGGGCCTGTTTGTTTTTGCTCTTTGTTTTCTTGTTCTCAAAACAATTTTATAAAATTGTTTCTTAGAATAAGTTTTGAAAACAAAAAACATAAGAATTTGTTTGGATAATAATTTAAAAAAATCATGTTTGAAAAAAATATGTAGAAAACTACACTTGGTAGGTGATAGTTGTCCTTATTAATGATAAGTGGTGGATAGTAAGTGAGAAGAGAAGAAAATTTCTCAAAATTTTACCAAAAAAAAAACATGTAAAAGTTGTTTTGATTTTTTGGTTTTTAAAAACATGTTACTGTTTTTTGTTTTTTAAAACAATCAACTAAAAACAAATTACCAAACAATTTTTTTGGTTTTTCTGTTTTTAAAAACAAAAAATTGTTTTCAAAATGAAAAACCAAACAAACCCTTACTTTCTCTTCTCCTCATCCTTTCACTGTCAAAAAGTAGTTTTCAAAGTTTCCAATATTCCCAGACGCGTAGTTTACCAACAATTATTAAAGCACACCATGCACATGCAAAATATTTTTTTCCCCCTATAACTTACTATTACACATTTGAGTATTTCTGTGGTAAAAAAAAAACACATTTGAGTATTTCAAATCCTATCAATATACAAGTATTGATTACATTTTAATATGTATTAACAACTTTGAAATGAAAATTAACAAGTTGCAATTTCAATCTAAATAATAATTATTATGCCTTTCTTAGTCGAAATATATGTACGGGCTCTAAATTCTTGTGTCATCTTTATACTAGCACTAGATGATAAGATTTTATTATCATAATATGATTTATTTTTGCGCTAAAAATCCTGCCCTTAAGTAATTTTTTTTGCCCGCATATGCTAAAGTGCTTAATAAATATCACACATAGATTAAAACTAATTGGAATAGTGAATAAAAGATATTTCCGTGATCAAACACTTATGATCATTGCCTTACATATAAATCATTTTAATGTGTTGTTTGAAGTTAACTCGAATTTATAAAAGTAAAGTAGAATGTAAATAAAGATTGAGGTTGAACTAAAATAATACATAATAAAAGACAGAATAATTATTATTTACGTTAAAATTTTGCTTTGTTAATTTTTATTCCAAATCGTTTTATAAAGTATTGCTAACATAATTTTTGGCCGAAACCATCAGCGGGTGGGATCAAATCCCAGCTCCTTTTTTTTCCCTTAAAAAAAATCCCTCTCAACCGGAAAAATTCCCAACGGAAGCCACCTCACCGAGGGCTATAGCACCAGCGGATCTCCGACAAGGGGTTCGTTTTTTTTTTTTTTTTTAACTTTTTGATAAAGGAATTTTTTATCATTTTATCTTAATATCAAAATGACAACATCTATCATATATATACATTATATATACTCCCCCAATTCTTAATATAAGACCCATTTAACTAATTTGATTAGATTAAGGAAGTTAGGTAAATTAGTTAATTATAAAAAAAGTGACACATTTTTCTTAAAACACCATAATCATATTTTTATAATTAAAATAATCTATTTTTAATGAGTAATTCAAAAGTTTTAAAGAAAAAATTTTTTTGTTGTCACACTCCACACATATAAGATTATTCTATATTAAAAAGGGGAATATTGTTCTTCCTTGACTGTTGGTAGTCTGCTGGGCTGAAATAGATGAACGACAATATTGGGTCAGGCTGATATTTTTTTTTGGGTCTTATCTAGTACCAGAAAAAAACGATGCTGCTACCAGGAGTTGGGTACATAAGATGATAAAGTAATATTTAAATTTTTACTAGAAGATGTGTTTATATTTAGCATCTGATAGTGTTTCAAACAGGATTATTTTTAGTAAAAAAATACTTATGCCCACACAAAAAAAAATCTATACTAGTACTCATTTTGTAGATTAATAAGAAATTCAGTATTATTAGCAAAAGCAAAATAAACTCGTGTCCACTGTGAGATAGGAAGTCATGTGAAGTTCCTTTTTGTTTTCTTTTATGGCAAAAAAAGTATGCTGAATTATCTTGATGATCACTAGGTTAGGCTCCACACCTCACTATCATATTTATTTTCTTAAAAAAATAAAGATATTTATCGAAACATTGTTAAATTACGATCTAATAATTAAGATTTCTTAATTGATACTCCATTGAGGGATCACAATCTATTGTTCTGAGACTTAAAAAAAATTAATTATGTATTTTCTTCGCACACCCACACACATCCTAGTTTAAGCACAGGCCAATCCCATCAACTTTTCCAACCCTCTCATAACGTCATTTCCAACTCAAAAGGTTATTCGCAGATAAACATTCACTTCAAAGTCTTTTTAACATAACAGACATGGTAATGCATTTTAACTGTTTTGAATTTTTTTCTTCTTCTGCTAATTCTGTTATTGTCTTGTTGTTTTGTTAACATCCTTTTTGGTGCGTCTTTATTATTTTGACTTTTCTTCTCCTCTCCCTCTCATGGTCTTGTTTTAATTTTTTTTTTCGTAGATGAAACTAAAATTCATATGTTCTGAAATTTTTTAAGATTTATTTGTTTATTATGTGTTCTTACCCAAAATGAATAAAGAAATAGGTATATTTTATCTTTTTTCTTTTTTAACTAAGAAAGACAATTACTGATTTTAAACTTATGATAAGAAAAACAAATAGAAAAAAGATTAATGTGATCTCCCAAAATTAAATATGCTAAAATATTAAGCAAAAAGCAAAATAACACAAGAAGGAAATATTTCAGTAAGAAAAACAAAAAACAAAAGCAAGAAAGAAAAAGGAAATGTGACATAACTGCTACGTACACTTTCTAACCCTTCTCTTCCTCCTCTTTGGCGGATCATTCACCAGACTTACAACCCATTGAGGTTTGCCTGTGAACATTATAACCTGAAACAACATTGCTCCAAATGCTGCTCCGCATACATATCCCAACACCACAGGTTTCCATCCAAATTCAAATCCATCTCCAGAACTTGGAAGTGGTTCTTGTCTTTCCTCGTAGGCGTTGCATGGAATCATGAGTTGAAAACCACGCAAGTCCTTGTTTCCTTTAAAAGAATCACTTGAGAAAGTCTCCAGTTGTTGGCCCCTAGGAATGCAACCTTCAAGTTCATTCTTTGACAAGTTCAAGACTTCGAGAAAATTGAGATTAGTCAACTCTGTAGGAATTCTCCCAGTGAAATTGTTTGATGACAAATCCAACCATTCCAAATTCCTCAAATTTCCTATTGAGATAGGAATTGCACCAATGAGCCTATTATGTGAGAAATTGAGCCCCTTCAATGCATGGAACTCTCCAATAACTTGAGGAATCTCTCCGTCAAACATGTTATTGGATAAATCAATGCTTGTGAATACTGTCAATATCTTTTGTAGATGAATTTCACATCCTTTCCAGGTCATGTCAATGGAGTCCTCATAAATGCTCTGTTCATAGCTAGAGTTTGCATAATTCAAGTACTGCAAGCGAGTTTTTCCATCTACTCTCCTCATAGCTTCGAAAGATTGGAAGAATGATGCAGGTAAAGGACCTTTCAAATTGTTGCTGGACAGGTCAAGTACTCTTAACATATGGAAGGCATGGCTTCTATTGTCCTTAAAACTGGGGATAAAACCGTGGAATTTATTCCCTCTAAGAACAAGTACTTGCAATTCTTCAAGAGCTTCTAGCCAATGGGGAAATACATCTTCTATGTTGTTGTTGCCAAGATCCAAGACTCTTAGCCTTGTGCAATTGACCAAAGATCGAGGCAGTGACCCTTCTAGAAAGTTGCCATTCAGATTTAGGGTTCTTAAATCGTTCCCCACTTCAAATGATTCAGGTACAATGCCAGAGAAACTATTATTTTGTAAATCCAACACAGAAAGAGTAAGGTTAGAGCTAACAATACAGTGTGGAATGGTGCCGGTGAAATTATTATGGGACAAGTTAAGAATATCAAGTGTGTTAGCATTGCAAATAGAAGGAAGAAGCTCTCCTTGAAGGGAGTTGGAGCTTAAATCAAGAAAACGCATGTATTTCCATGACAAGTGGTGCCACAACACATTTTCTGAAAGGCAATTGTGTGAAAAGTTCATGAGTGTAAGGTTTTGAAGCTGAAAAATTGACCTTGGAATTGGGCCGTGCAACTTATTGTTAGACACATCAAGCGACCGTAGTGAATAAGCAGATATTTCGCCGATATGACCAGTGAACTGGTTAGAAGATACAATCAAATTAGATAAAGATGGTAGAGTAAAAATCGAAAAAGGAATTTTTCCATGGAAGCCATTGTTTGACAAATCTAGAGTCCGGAGATTTTTAAGATCTGAAACTGAATATGGAAATTGACCACCAAAATTATTTGAAGACAAAAAGTTGACACATAACCTACAAATAGAGACCTTATTAGTGAGCGATCTGTAAGTATTTTTGTAAGCACTCTTTTAACCTGGAGTCATATCCTGGCCCTAATGAGCCTCTAAGATCCAACTCACCTAAACATTTGTTATAGTAAAAAAAAATTAATAATCATTGATGCCAAAATCATACTAAAATTCATTCAAATCTATACTGACTAAGATATTAGGAACTGAATAAAAAAAATAAGACCAATAGCAACATAATTATTTGATTCAGTTCATCACTGATTCACACCATTCAGTATCGATTCAACTCTCAACAAATTCATTGCCCAAATAAAATCGGTTTTCTGGTTAAAGTGACTGGTTTAGTATATTTTTTTTCCTTGGTATATCTAGCAACTAACCAGTAACCACACCTCAAACAAAATGTTTTCTAATAAAAAGACACCTATGTACGCTAGAAAAGAAAGAACTACTGAGCGTTTAGAATACCTCTTTTGTGGGGCAAGTATGCTTATAAAATACTCAACAATGACTTTGACTGGAGTGCTCCTTCTTTCTTTTTTTTTGGTTTATATCATCTAATTAGCCTAAATTAGATGATAAATAGTCTCCATCATATATATCCATTCTACATAGTTGCTTTCATAGTTTTCAACAGTCCATACGCGTAGTTTACTCGCACCTATGCCACTCATTTAATTTGCGAGATTTTTTTCTATAACTGAATATTACAAATTTGAGTATTTCTAAGTAATTTAATAAATATCTTTAAAACCTTAAGAACTAGGAAAAAATGACAAGCGCATTTTTAAAATATTTTTATTTGAAAATATAAAAATATATATAATTATGTCATTTCATACCGGTTAAGAAAAAAGAAAAAAATGTTTAAAAACTTAGGGCATTACAAGACATATTGACCAACAAGAGTTGTCCACTTAGTAATAAGTTAGCTCATAACCCATAAAGTCATGAGTTTGAATCCCGCTGTTGATATAAAGACTTTATTGGTGAGCGATCTGTAAGTGTTTTTGTAAGTGTTTTTTCAACTTGGAAGCATGTGCTAGCCCTAATGTGTCACTAATATCCAATTCACCTAAACATTTTTTATGGCAAAAAAATAATAATAATCATTGATGCCAAAATCATGTTAAAATTCATTCAAATCTATAGTGATGAAGATATGAGGAATTAAATGAGAAAAAATAGAACCAATAGCAACACAATTATTTGATTCGGTTCATCACTGATTCACACCATTCAGTACCGGTTCAACTCTCAACAAATTCATTACCCAAATAAAACCGGTTTTCTGGTTAAACTGGTTGGTTCAGTACAATTTTTTTTCCTTGCTATATCTAGTAACTAACCAGTAACCACACCTCAAACAAAATGTTTTCTAATAAAAAGACACCTATGTACATTACAAAAGAAAGAACTACTGAGCGTTTAGAGTGCCCTTTTTGTGGGGCAAGTATGTTTATAAAATACTCAACAAAGACTTTGACTGCCGTGCTTCTTTTTGTTTTTGTGGCTTATATCATCTAATTAGCCTAAATTAGATGATAAATAGTCTCCATCATATGTATCCATTCTACATAGTTGCTTTCAAAGTTTTCAACAGTCCATACGCGCAGTTTACCCGCACCTATGCCACTCATTTAATTTGCGAGATATTTTTCTATAACTGAATATTACAAATTTGAGTATTTATAAGTAATTTAATAAATATCTTTAAAGCGTTAAGAACTAGGAAAAAATGACAAGCGCATTTTTAAAATATAAAAATATATAAAATTATGTCATTTCGCACCGGTTAAGAAAAAAGAAAAAAAATGTTTAAAAGCTTAGGGCATTACAAGATGCATTGGCCAACAAGATTTGTCCAATTAGTAAGTAGTTGACTCATAACCTACAAATAGAGATCTTACTAATGAGCGATCTATAAGTATTTTTGTAAGCGCTCTTTCAACTTGGAGGCATGTCTTGGCCCTAATAAGCCTCTAAGATCCAACTCACCTAAACATTTTTTATAGCAAAAAAAAAAAATTAATAATCATTTATGCCAAAATCATACTAAAATTCATTCAAATCTATACTGACTAAGATATTAGGAATTGAATGAAAAAAAAAAGACCAATAGCAACATAATTATTTGATTCGGTTCATCACTGATTCACACCATTCAGTACCGGTTCAACTCTCGACAAATTCATTGCCCAAATAAAATCGGTTTTCTGGTTAAACTGGTTGGTTCAGTACAATTTTTTTCCTTGCTATATCTAGTAACTAACCAGAAACCACACGTTCACACCTCAAACAAAATGTTTTCTAATAAAAAGACACCTATGGACACTAAAAAAGAAAGAACTAGTGAGCGTTTAGGGTGTCCCTTTTGTGGGGCAAGTATGTTTATAAAATCCTCAACAAAGACTTTGAGTGCCGTGCTCCTCTTTTTTTTTTTGTGATTTATATCATCTAATTAGCCTAAATTAGATGATAAATAGTCTCCATCATACATATACATTCTACATGGTTGCTTTCATAGTTTTCAACAGTCCATACGCGTAGTTTACCCGCACCTCTGCCACTCATTTAATTTGCGAGATATTTTCTATAACAGGACATTACGAATTTGAGTATTTATAAATAATTTGATAAATATCTTTAAAACGGTAAGAACTAGGAAAAACGAAAATGTTTAAAAACTTAGGGTATTACAAGACGCATTAGAGGCACTTTGCCGGTGGGTAGAACGGGTATAATATTTCATAAAAAAAAAAAAACGAATGGGTGTAATATGATCTGGCACTGAAAGATGATGGCAATGGCATGCTTATCATCAGCAACACTAAATTAAAAAATTATTGTTTTTTTTTTTGTATTATTATTGCTTATTCTACACATCTACTTATGTGACAAGGGATCCCAATTCAGGCCATATTATGAGTTGATAAGAGATCAAGTCTGAGAAGCTTTTTGACTTGTTAAAAAGCTAACTTTAAATAGTTTTCCTAGTAACTCTAGATTTAAATTCAAATAATCTATTTTTAATGAGCATCTTATAAAAAATTCAAAAAGTGGACTCGTTTTGTTGTGTCACTCCGCCCATCACATGTAAGATCGTTCTATCTCTTCGGGGAATAAAATCTGAAGATTATTGTATCTCTTTGTTGATTGTTAATAATCTATGAGCTGAAATTGATTCACGCCAATATTGGGTCAGGCCAATACTTTTTTGGGGTCTATCTAATATACATTTGTATATTTTGCCTTTAATAAAAAAATACTCATGTTTACAAAACAAAATCTATATTTTTTTTTATACAAGGAAAACAAAATATATATTATGCGATCAGAAAAGAAATCTGTAATAATATTCATTTTGCAGATTGAGAAGAAAATGTTCCCCAGCGGACATTCAATAAAATAGGAACGATACACGTCATGAAGAAATTCACTAATTCAGTACTATTGACAAAAGCAAAAACCACACATTTCCATTGTGAGATAGGGAATTATTGTGAATTTCGTTGTGTTTTTTGCCCCAAAAAAATATGGTGAATTATGTGGATGCTCACCAGGGTTAGTCTCCAATCTCTACACCTCAATATTTTATGATCTTCATTTTTTTTTTATAAAATCTTAGAGAGTTGCTTGCAGATTTGGATCCCTTCACTTGAGGCGATCTCAATTAATTCCCAATTAAAGGATATTAATTATTAGATTGTGATATAATGGTAACTTATTTTAAAAATAAATAAATAAAGAAAATTATCTCAAAACACTTAGGTGATCACAATTTAATGGCTAATATTTTTAATCGATTCTCAATTGTGAAAGTTGAATTGAAGGGATCGAAATTCGTTGTCTAGAGGTTCATCAAAGTCAGCCCAAAAATCATTGCTAGTGTGGTGGAGAGTGATTGTCTTGAGTTAGGAGAGAGAATCAATACTTGTGGGCTTGCGGAGGACGATGAGGATGTGGCCATGCAGGAGATCATCAGCATATTGAACCGAGAATGGGATATCCATGTATTATGGTGTGCTAGAGAAGGAAATGCTGTCGCAGATACTTAGCTGAAGAGGCTCTTTCAGTTTCACGCGGCTTCTTTTATTTTTCCACTCCTCCTCCATGTGTCACAGACACGCTGAGGAAGGATGTGCTCTGTATGGGCTAATTTAGCCTTTCGAATTATTCACTGGAAAAAAAGTTAGCCCAAAAAAAAAATGTAGTGTTCAAAAGTACCATCTTATAGAGGTATTTACGATGGAATAGCCGAATAGGAATTAATGAGGTTTTAAAGCAATGGAGAATCGTGATTATCCTTGCCAATCTATCATGCCTTATTTTAAAATGGAATTCATGATCGCAATAGGGAATTATTGTGAACTTCGTTATATATAATGAAAATTTGCTATAAAGTCTTAAAGAATAAATATAATTATTAAAAATTTTCATCAACAACAAAGCAGCTTGCAACAAATTTTAATATTAAAAAATAACAACTACTCACTTATTATTAAGACTTATTGATAATTATTTTCTTTACTTGAATCTTATTATAATTCTCCCCGTATATATAGAGATGAAGGCTAACGGACTCCAATGAGGCCCATTAAACGTAAAAGCCCAAGTAGGCCATCAAACAAAATTGATTGCAGCCCGAAAAAATTGAGACCAATCCAGACTTCGCTTCCCCTCTTCCTTTCAAAAGGGAGCTTCTTCTTACCCGAAAAAGATGAGTAGCAGTTTGAAGAAATATTTATATTTCTTGTACGGCAGTATTTTGAATAAGATTATTTTCAATAAGAAAATACTTATATTTATCAGTAAAAAAGATGAGATTCTAAATGTTTCATTTGTCTTTTATTTGATGCCCCGATCAAGTGTCTCAATAAATAAGAAAAGAAAGTTCAATATACAATATTTATATATTTTCTTTGTATGTGTTAATTCTTACATTTTAAATTTAAACATCCGGAATAATTTTTTTTTCAATTTAATACTGCATACTTGAAATTCATATACCGTATACCTTTCAAAAAAAAACATATTGATTAATACATAAATTTCGTTAAGTCTGCTACTAAAAATGGCAAAAGTTTAATCCTATCAAATTTTTTAACCCTCTCGTAACTTCATTTCCAACTCAACAAGTTATTCAAAAATAAACATTGACTTTAAAGTCTTTTAACATATAAACGACATGATAATGCATTTTCACTGGTTTTAGTTGTTCTGCTGCTAATTCTTTTGTTGTCTCGTTCTTTTGTTTTTCCACACTAACGTCAATCTCCAGTTACAAGTCACTATGCAAAAACAAGGTTTTTTTTATGCGTCTTTACCAGTTTGATTTTTCTTATCCCATCCCTCTCAAGGTCTTGTTTTAATTTGTTCTTTTAGAGAACGAAAGTACAATTCATCATATATTTCGTAATTATTTAGTATTTGTTTATAAAGTGGTCTCACCCAAAATAAATAAAGCAGTCGATATATTTGATCGCTTTTTACTATGAAAAACAATTACTCATTTTAAGCTTATGATAATAAAAACAAACAGAAAAAAGATTGTGATCTACCGAAATTAAATCGGCTAACATATTAAGCAAAAAGTACAATAATCATTTTTCTTTCACATGATCGCACAATGAATTGAACATTTGATTCCCAAAATAGAAAAAAAGGAAGTCTGAGAAACCTTTAAAAGAATCACTTGAGCAAGTCTCAGACTGTTGGCCCCTAGGAATACAGCCTTCAAGTTGATTCCTTGAAAGGTTGATGACTCCTAAAAATTCGAGATTGGTCAACTTTATAGGAATTTTTCCAGTAAAATTATTTAATAACTTCGAATAGGATTGCCACCAATAAAGTCAGAAAAACGGATCGAGCCCGTTTAAACCAGTTTAAGTTGAGAGTTGGGTTTGTATTTTGGAGCCTTTTGAAGTCAGGCTTAAAAGAGCTAGCCTTGTAGGGCTGAAAAATAAACAGGCTGGCCCGTTTATGCCCGACAACATTTCTTAAAAAAAATTATATATTTTTTTCTTAACTTGAAAAGAAAAATCTTAATATTTTACATATAGCATACTTTTAGTTTCACTTACCTTAGCCGCTCACACATATAGCATTCACAAAAAAAAAATCACCATAGTTGTTGGAAAAATAACCCAAAAAAAAATGAAAATTGCAAAATTTAAAACTAGGTATATTCACAAAAATGTGTTGTTATTTATAAGTTGTCAAAACCTATTAAAATACTGTATGTGTAATTTTACGGTCTTTATTTGTCATTCTCTCACATTTTTTATATTTGAAATAGAATTGGTTAAAGAATCTTTTGAATTAAAATAAAGATCTATATCATTTTTATAGTTAGAAGCAAATTTAGAACTAGGGATGACAGACTCTTTTCTTCTTTGTTGGTAGGACAAATGATTATTCTTTATGGATACTATGTTTGTTAGTTAAATTTTTTTGTTAATTATTTATAACTAAACTAGATCATCCACATTGTAATTATTTACTAAACTTAGTGCTTATTTAGTTGTTTATGTCTGTTCTCTATTTAGTTTGTTTATTCAATAGACTCTATTACACTGTGATAGATGTTTAGACATGATGATATTTATGTTTGTGACTTATTTTTATTTTTATTTATACCTTTTATTAGTAATTTTATTGTTTCATTTTTATTATTTTGATAAAATATAATAAAAATAAAAATAAAATTACATTTTAGTTAAACGGGCCAAAAGCTCGCAGGCTGACCCAAGCCTGTCATCTCGCGTGCCGACTTGAAAAAATGGTTCATTTCTAGGACTCAAGCGTAAACAGGCCGACCCGTTTAAGTTTGAGCCCGTGCTCGTTTTCCTAGTACTAGCCACCAACATGAGGATAGCTATGTTTAGCAAAAAAAAAAACATGTAAGATGGATTAATCACTTATGGGACTTACAAATTAAAAATACTAAAATACCCAGATAAAATTTTTAAAATTATTTTAAAAAAATTAATGTATATTATTTATAGGGAAAATGACATAAAAAGAAGTTGTAAATTGCAATATTCTAATTTAGACATTTAAGAGGTCAAAATCTTATAGGAGGAAGTAGCGTCTGATATATTATTTTACAAATGTAATTAAATAACTAAAATGCTCTTTATTAAACTTTTTTTAAAAAAGCTATCAAACTTGGGTTGGGGTAAAAGTCCAGCCCATATATCACCCAATAATAAGTCCAGCCCATTCATCAAGAATGGTGAGTCCCAATTTTTTTTCCCCCGGCGCAGAGGAAAAGAGAGTCCCATTCTAATATACCCGTAATAAGGAATAATAATATACTAAACAAATTTTGCAAACTTGGTTAAATGTTATAATTAGCAACTGATCTTACGTTTGGACCCAAAAAAAAAAACTAATTTTACGATAAAGCATTTTAATTTAGGAAATAAGATATTGGTGTAATATTTAATTATTCCCTTTTTCCTACCATCTCATCGCATCTTCCATTCATACTTTAAGTAGGGCCACACAAATACCTAGTTGGACCAGGTTTAGTATCAGTCTGAAATCTGGTCTGAAAAATGATCAGGTTGAAATGTTTGGTCTGAAATCCTGTTCAGCCTTATTTAACTCGATACTAAGATTGGGTTGGACTTGATCTGTCGGGTTACTAGAGTGGTGCACTAAACTTTGCTCCTTCCTTTTAAAAAAACGAGCAGATTATACAAAAATAAAAAGAGGATCTGAGCTGTCATTTTTTCCCTTAATACATACACGGACATAGACTTGGGTTGTCAAGACTTCACTCCCATTTTCTTTTCCAATTTCTCCATATTATATTCTAGTAAAATAAAATAGTCTGATAAAACTATTTTTTATATTTTAAAATTCATTTTATTCCTTCTCTCTCTCTCTCTGCGCATTAACCTCACGCCCTCAACATAAATCGGGTTGTTGCAAGCCAGACCGGGTTTCAGGTGTTTTTGGCATAGCCTTAACTTTGAGTGCTTGTTTGGTATCAACCACAAATTTTTCCTTTGTGCCATGCACAAAGTAGTATATTTGATTAGATTTGAAATTCTAATAGATTACATTATCTTAGGTAGCTCAAAATTTACTTAATTATTTATTTCTCTATTTAAGCCTTCAACTGAAATACCATTTAATTATGATACTTCCTATTTAATTTAATATATTTAAATCCCAATTAAGATGTTATTCAAATTCAAAATGAATTACTAATTTTTTTATTTGAACCTCTAATTAAAATTTCATTTAATAATAATACTTTTTATTTAATTTAATATATTCAAATTTCAACTAAGATATTATTCAATTTGGCACTACAAGTATTGTTGAGAGAAGAAAGCCTTTTAAAACCAAGTCTACCATAGTGTTTAGGCAGCAGAATTTGATCCAAGCCTTGGACCTTTGGATTCTGTTGAAGTTATATAAATACATATATATACATATACATATATATATATATATATATTATATAGGCATACGCTTGAGCCGTGGAAGAACCGTTTCGTACAAGAATTATCTATAAAGATATTATTCCCTTCGCTCATTATTATAAACACTTAATAATTAATAACTTTACATAAATAAATAAAATTAATTGGAATTAATTATTTATTATAAAATATAAAAATTATCATCAATAAAAGTCATTAATTAAATAAATTTGCTTATTTAGTTAGAAAGGTTAGTAGTTAGTTGGGAAGTTGATTCTTGCAAAGGTTCAAGACTCGGAAAAGTCATGGTGAATTATTTTGATGCTCATCAGGGTTAGTCTCCATACCTCACTATCTTATGAATTTCATTATTTTTTCGATGATAAAATCTGGGCGAGTTGTTAAGGACTTGGATCCCTTCAATTGATATGTTCTCTCAATTGAATTTTTTTCCCCCTTGAATATAAAACTGAGTAACATTAAAATGAAAAGCAGAGTACAACAAGAAATGGCCCGCCCTCCTTCGTTAGCCTGTTGAAAGTTGACAGAGGTGGACGGTGATTTGGGATAAA